GCATGTACACCCCACACAATACACATATACTTTCCCAAGATGATGTCTCCTCCACAGACACACAGCCTGCACAATATAAATATACCATACACCCTCACCCGTAGATGACAGACACATACACCTGTATAATACACTCATACCACACACAATCCCACTTACAGGTAATATGCCCATTACACACACCCCACATGAGACACACCCCACATATATCAATCCACAGACAACCTGCCCACAAACATGCACATACTATACACATCACACAACACAAAGACAACTAGCCCTAATTACACACACAACACACAATACACACACCACATTCCCTAATCTGGCAGACAGACAGACCTGCTGCTTGCAGTACAGACATACCCATGCATGCCAAACTCATGCAAAATGGACACACCACACACATTGCAGATGGACACACTTGACTGCCACATCCCACCCCACCCCCCGGCACCATAGAAGTACCACCATCCCACAGACATCACACACTAATGACACCAGAAGCAGCCACCCTTCACACACACATTACCTTGTCTCTCTGACACAAATACTCCTATACTACACACATTCACAAACTAAGATAGTGTCTGTGTTTACACAGACATCTATAGAACACACACTCGTGTGCGTGCACACACACACACACACACACCCCTCCAGCTCTCCTGCTTCCATCTGACTCCCAACACCAACACTCACATTGCCGACTGACACACTGATACACACACACACACACACACACACACGTGCACACGCACACACGCACACACACACACACACGTGCACATGCACACACACACCATATGAGCATTCCTTCCCTTCCCCCAAACCTTGGTCACACACATCCCTTGCCCATGACTGAGTCTCCTCAGGTTCTCCTGGGCTTCTGTGTGTGGTGTTGTCCTCCCTTGGACTCTCCACTCTTCTACCTGTTCTGAAAACCCGTACAGAGGGGAAGCAAAAATACCAGAACCCTACCATGTACCCCAGGTCCCAAGAGCCTGGGAGGAGGCTCCTGGGTGTCAACCGAAGAGGCAGCCATAGTCAAGCTGAGTAGAGCTTGAGGACACAGTGGGACCTCTCGGTAGCTTGCCACAGCCCAATCTGTGTGGAGGGCTGGGTTCTAGCAGGGCCCAAATGACCTGGAGCAGGAATGAGGAGTTTCAAATGCCCAGCACCAAGGGATGGAGGCGGGACTTCCTGCCACAGGTACCTGGGCAGGGCTTCCAGGTAATTCTCTGTCAAGCCAGTCAACAGCAGTAACAGCAGCAAACAGAATACCACACACTGACTCTCCATCCACAAAGCTTGACCCTGACAATTATGGACTAGGGCCTAAGAATGCCCAAGCTTGGTAGCTCTCTCATCTCAGAATGAGGAAGTGGAGGTAAAATCTGCAGACAGGGCTTGTCCAGGGCCCCATACATATGGTCAGTGAGGTCACCAGTTCTACTCACATCATGGCCCAAAACTCAGATCGAACCAACCAACTCCAGCAGACAGTGGGTCCATCTGCCCTTAGAAGCCTCCTCAGGCCATTCTCTCCGTGCCATGCCCACCTCAGGAGTTACCCACCCTCAGCCTGGACCAGTGTGGGGCTGATATGTGCATGTGGACACAGAGCGCTGCCTGACTGTTAAAACATAGGACAGGGGTGCTGAAGTGGGTGGGTGGGTGGGTGGAACATCTCCACAGGTATGTGGCCCTGTGTGGGGATGGGAGCAGCCAGGGGCATCCAGGTGTGGCTGTGGTTTGTATGCCTTAAGAAGGAAGGTGCAGGTAGGATGGGGCTGTGCAAGAAAGAGGTGATGCGTGCGCCCCGAGATGTACACACTGGGTGCATGTAGCAATGCGCAGCAATTATGAGGTGCAGCTCTAGATAAAAGAACAAGTTTCCCTGTTGAACCCATGTCCTTTCCTCCTCCCCGCTGGACTTTATCTGGCCAGGCAGCCCTGCTCTCGGCTCAGACAGTAGGTAATTGATTAATAGGACTGGTTCTTGGCTCTTCGAGGTCTGGCTGTAGATAAGAGGAGACAGGAGCAGCAGCCCAGTGGGGATGCCCTGGATTCCAGGACTGAGCTCTGAAGTCACAGGTCATAGGTGTCCCTCTCTCAGTCCTTTACTCTCCTCCTGGTGCCAGGGGTCCACACACCCTCCAGGGTAACATATACAAGGCGAATGCCCCAGTTAGACCCTGGACACAGCTGGATTGAGGCTCACCTCCCCAGCTGGAACAGGGATTACCTTCAAGTCCCCATGAAGACTTTACAGAGCCATGTTCATGAATGACTGTGCCCCCAGGGGGAGTGTCCACACATTCATATCTGTCTTCACATGACACTTCTTCACTCTACTACCGAGGTAAGCTGAGGTTGGTTATCAGAGCCCCAAAAGCCAATAGGCATAGACTCTGCCTCTATGACCTCCAATGACCATGACCCTTCTAGACCAGCAAGCAGATGAGGAGACAGCAACATCAAACCCAAAGGCCTAGTCTAAGAGAATAATGAGGGTGTACAGACAGATCTGCAGCATTCTGGGGCCCAGGATCCCAGCTGATGTCTGCATGGATGAGTATAGGAAAATGAAGGCTCACAGTGTGTCCAGGAAGAACCCTGCTAGGAAGGGCCCTTCGTTTATTTTCTGTTGTCTGCCTAAGCTGTTAGAGCAACTATCACACTCCCTATGCACATCCTTGGGGACCACTCCTGATGTCATCCACTCTAGGCTTTTCATCTGGAAGCTGTGGAAGAACAAGGCAGGTGGATGAATAAGTTTTGATAAAGACCCCTGCCCACAAGAGTACAAGAAAAACACCAGATACATCAGGAGAGGCCATCCAGATATCCATAGCCTCCTTCCAGAACCAGACATTGAGTGGTTAGGGCTCCCAGGGCTGAGACAGAAGGCTGAGTTGGAAAAGACGGTGCCCACCCCTGTGTCAGGTTGAAATGGAACATACACTGTCCTCTGCAGGTCAGGGCAGGAACGTGCACCCATGCTCCCAGAACACATGCTCTGATGCCTCCAAGGATGTGTACACTCCTCTAGTCCGGCTCCACCCCCTTGCAGAGCTCTGATGGCTGGCCTCTGGGGCAAGGGGCTACCTCTACACCCACCCAGCAGCACTCTAGAACCTTCCCACCATCCTAGCCTAACCTCAGCATAGCATCCCCTGCATCCCACTTCAGCATGCCCCACTCCCAAATGGTATAGCTACCAAAGCCAGCGCCTCTGAGCCAGTAAAGCTCCCTTTCTAGAAGCCCCTGAGTTCTGTGGAGGGCCACAGGCCACAGTGTGTCTTGCTCTCAGTGTGTGTGTGTGTGTGTGTGTGTGTGTGTGTGTGTGTGTGTGTGTGTGAGAGAGAGAGAGAGAGAGAGAGAGAGAGAGAGAGAGAGAGAGAGAGAGAGGGAGAGAGAGAGAGAGGTGTATGCATCTATATGTGCAGGCACATGCACCTCTATGTGTGTGTGATATGTGTGTATGTACCTACATATGCAGGCACGTCATGCACCTCTGTGTGTGTGTGGATACATGTGTATGCATCTACATATGCAGGCATGTGCATCTCTGTGTATGTGTGCTAGAGGTTGACATCAGGTGACTTCCTGCCTCACTTCCCTTTGTGTTTTTTGAAATAGGGTCTCTTTGCTGAACCTGGGGCTCACCCATTGTCTAGATTGGTAGTCAGGGAGCTCTTAGATTCCCCTACCCCTCCCAGCACTGGGATTACAGGTGCCATGACTGGCTTTCTGTGTGGGTGTTGGGGATCCGAACTCACACTGAGCCATCGCCCAGCCCACACTTACTCTTTTGTGAGCACAACTCCCAAGCATCTGCCTTCTCTCCACACTGCCTGTCATTGGAAGAGAAGAGGAGAGAGAAGAATGGAGGGGAGGGGAGGGGAGAGCAGAAGGGAGAAGGAGGAGAAGGAGACATCCATCCCTACAGAGACTGTATTGGGATGTTTTACTATGTGCTCTGGCTCGGGCAGCACCTTAGTTAATGGTGTGTCAGACTATGGTACAAATTTATAGCTGAAGGTTTACATCACAGACAGCTGCAATGAATGACGATAAATTAATTTAAAGTGCTACCAAAGTCTATGTGCTTATGAGCACGGGACTAATAATTTATAAATGCATGCCTTTTATAATCCCGGTCTTAAGTCTTGAAAGCAGCTAGTTAAAAAGCAGTCACATGACATAAATTATTTTTATTCTTATCACTGTGTATGGTGATATGGAATGGAGAGGATGGTGGCCACCAGCCCATGGCTTTTTCAGGTAGCCATCTCTCTGTAGTCCCCGTCTCTACTTCTAAGGAACTTGAACCTATAGTCCCCAGCTCCATCTTATCACTGGCCAAGATGCTCCCACATCCTAACCCCCTTTCTGAGGGTTCAATAAAATTCTCCTCCACTATGAGGCCTCTCCTCCAACCAAAGAGTTATAGGGACATCTTCTTGCTCCTTGGAAAGAAAAGAGCAAACATCTTTTTATGTGCAGACAATAAGCACAGTCATTCTCACAGGAGGTTGGGAAGAGACTCCCTGATCCTCCATGCCTTCACCTGTAGAGCAAACTTCACAATGGACAGCCCTCACAGGGCCATCAGAACTGATTAAGGTCACATATAAGCCCTCAGTAAAGTGTGCTTTCCACTACCTGCCCTATGAGGACAGGGACAGGTTGAGAGTGCTTTATGACACTGGGAACCTCGTGGCTGGTTGAGCTGCTCAGATCTTCTTCATAAATGAGAGCTGGCCCTTCCCTTCTGTAATGTTCTCTCACAGCCTTCTCTCCCTAAAGTCAAGCCTCACCCATGTGCCCTGAGCCCTGCACCATGAGCCCTGCACCTGCTACTGCCTTGTTGGGCCCATCTGTTCTTCTGTTCTTCTCATGTTAGCTCACTCTCTCCTGCATTGCCTGAAAGATCTCCCTAACACTTGACAGTTCCTCAAACCAAGAGGCGGAGTCAATTCTTTTTTTTTTTTTTTAATATGGACCGCTTCACGAATTTGCATGGCATCCTTGCGCAGGGACCGTGCTAATCTTCTCTGTGTTGTTCCAATTTCAGTATATGTGCTGCCAAAGAGAACACGGAGTCAATTCTTGCATCCTTTGATTGGCGTTGCCTTCACCTTGCTTTGACGTAGACTAGGTCAGCAAGGGTAATGCAGGACTTCCGAGACTGGATCTTGAGGTGCCTTGCATTCCAATGCCCCCCCAGGTCTGCAGGCCTAGCCTGATTTCCTTCCTGGACCCAAATGTCCAGCTGTCTCCTGGACCTTCCTTTTGAAGGTCTTGCAGACACACGACCCTCCTAGCTTCCCCCTTTGCTTATTGTCTCCACCCCACCCCATCCTCCTTACTTGCTCTTCCTCCCAAGACTGGAACTCCCATCTATTCTATTGCTGAGTCCCAAGACTGGTGCCCTGTTTCCACCTCCCATAAGGTCAGTCTCAGAGGCTAGGAAGATGCCTCTCTCAATGGGTAAAGTGCTTACCTTTCTAGCATGAGGACCTGAGTTTGATCCCCAGAACCCATGTATAAATGCCAGACACTGGGGACTGAAGAGATGACTCTGTAGTTAAGAGCACTTACTGCTCTTTCAGAGGACATGAGTTCAGTTCCCAGCACCTACATGATGGCTCACAATTGCCCATAACTCTGGTTTCAGGGGATCTGACATCCTCTTCTGGACTCTGTGGCCACCTAATACTCATATGTGCACATACATACCTGGAAACAAAACACTCAAACATGTCAAAATCTTTTTATTCTTTAATGCCTGGCATGGTGGCACATATGTGTAATCCCAGAACCAGGGGGACAAAGACAGAGAGATCCCTGGGACTCATGGATCAGCTAGCCTAGCCCGATTGGTGAGCTCCAGATCAAAGAGAGGCCCTGTCTCAAAGGATGTGGACATCAGCATTCCTGAAAACGACAGTGGCACACAAGGTTATCCTCTGACCTCCACAGGCACATGCTCTCACATCCATGCATACACTGAGACACAGACACAGAGACACACAGACACACGGAGACAGACAGACAGAGAACATTTTAGTCCCTGGTCTTGGTAGGGCAGCCTCTCAACTGGCTTTGATCATCTAATTGAAACTGTTCTCTCCAAACCTAGGCTGCTTGGATCTCTCCACAGCCCAGCCTCTACTCATGCGTTTAGTCCCTTCTCCACCGAGCAGGCCTTAATTATGTTCCTTTGCAGCTTACATACCTTCAACGGTCCCCAATGTCTTCCTAATAAAAGTCACACTTGATGGGAATTACTGGCTCTCCACACCTGCCCCAGGACTTCCCCTGGTCTCATCTCTGACTGTTCCTGATACTCAAGCTGGCCTTGCCCGCCCTGCCTGCTGCCTGCTCCGCCCATGAGTTTTCACGTGACTGCTCCTCCTGCAGGGACCCCCTTCCCTCCAGGGGCCAATAGATACCCCGATGGCAGGCCTTGGCTTCTCTAGGAAGCCTGTCTGAGCCTGTACCTCTTGCTGAGGGACTGTCCTGCTGGTTACCCCACTGTACCCTCCCTCACCTTTCTTCTGTCTCCCACCCACAGTCTTCCCTTCTCTTCCTTCCTGACCCACTTATCTGCCTGAATGGTCTTTGGAGAGTAGTTTGTTCCTCAGCAAAACAGGCAGCTCAGGGTGGGTGGGCAGGAACTACCTGTCCCAAGCCAGCACAAGAGTGGGCACAGAATAAGAATACTCTGAAATTGGGCCGGGCGGTGGTGGCGCACGCCTTTAATCCCAGCACTCGGGAGGCAGAGCCAGGCGGATCTCTGTGAGTTCGAGGCCAGCCTGGTCTCCAAAGCGAGTTCCAGGAAAGGCGCAAAGCTACACAGAGAAACCCTGTCTCGAAAAACCAAAAAAAAAAAAAAAAAAAAAAAAAAGAATACTCTGAAATAACTAATGGCCAGTGCCATCATCTTGCCCCTTCTGATTCACATCAAAGCCTGGTTCTGACCATTTATAAAGAAATGTGTCTACCTTCAGCCATCATTTCTCAACTCAGCCATTGAATGTCCATCTACTGGCTCACCATGTGCCAGCCCTGAACAGACACACAAATGACAAATGAATGGATAACAGAATTACCTAGATGTGAAAAAGACCAAGCTATTGAAACACACAGAGGCATGGAGACGCTCACCAGCAATACGCTAAGGGAAAGAAGCCAGACACAAAGACTGTGTGCTGGTAGGTTCTGTGACATTTGAGAAAAGGCAACCTAGAAGTGATGGAAAGCAGACTTTTCCAGTTTCCCAAGACTGGAGCCCCAAGAGTCAGGTGGAAGCTGAGTTGTCTCATGGCTCAGTGGGTAAGAGCTCTTGCTGTGCAGACCTGAGGATCTGAGTTCAAATCCCTAACACTCATGTAAAAACCTACCATAGCCACTTACATGCTTGTAACATCGGTGTTGTGGGGATAGAGACACCGGGGCTTGCTAGCCACCAGCCTATCTACAGGTTCAATTAGAGACCTTGTCTCAAGGCAGTGAGGTGGAAGATGATAGAACATGGCAGTCAACATCATCCCATGGCCTCCAAAGGCTCATTAGGAGACGGGCCACAGTAGAGGAAAGAGTCTCTGAGCTCGAGGACATAACTCTACAAACTTCCAAAATGGGACTGACTGCAAAGAGGACATAGATGGGAAGAACTGGAGCAGGATATCCAGACTGTAGGGCTTCAGACCATGTGCTACACGTGTAACAGGAAGGAGCAGAAAAAATATTTGAACCATTAATGACTGAGAGTGTCCCAGAATTAATGTCAGACACTACACGTAGACCCAGGGGGCTGAAAGAACAGTGACTAGAATGAATATTCTCTCTCTCTCTCTCTCTCTCTCTCTCTCTCTCTCTCTCTCTCTCCCCCCCCCTCCCTCCCTCCCTCTCTCCTCTCAATAGCAGAAAACCAATGATGAAGAAAAAATCCTGAAATGAGAAGAAAGAAGAAAGGAAGAAAACTCTGATGTATAGGAACAAGGATAAGGATTGAATCATGCTTCCCAGACACCATTTCTGGGGGGAAAAAAAAGAGTAAGATGAAATATTTAAAGAGTTAAGAGAGAGAGAAAAAAATGTCAACTACAAATTCTGTTTCCTGCCAAGTTAGCCTTCAGACGTGAATGAAATGACAAGACTTTCTCAGATAAACAAAAACTGAGAAAATCTGTACACTAGACCTGCCTTGTAAGATATGTAAAACGAAGTTCTTTAGAGGTTGAGGAGATAGCCTGAGGACCTGAGTTCAAATTACCAGCACTCTCATAAAAATCTGGCCATGGCTGCACATACCTGTAAGTCAGGTATAGGATACCAAAGACACAGAGCTCGCTGGCCTGCCGGCCAACCTTACCAAAACAACAAGTTTCCGGTTCAGTGAGCGGCCCTGCCTCAAGCCAATAAAGTGGAGATGGTCAGAGAAAGACACTTGGCTTCCTGTTCTGGCCTCTGTATGCCAGCGCATGGATGTGTGCAACTGCACACACATGCACATGCATCACACACATACACTCACCACACACATATGCAAAAGGAAGTTCTTTTCAAGGAAAACTATTCAAGTCAAAGCCTCCAAGCTACATAAAGAAAGGGAAAGTAACAAAGAAAGAATAAGAAGAGGTAAAAGAAACTTTTTCTTATTCACAATTGATACAACAGACAACACTTTGCCCAAAATAATAGCAACAATGTATTCAAGGATAGAAAGATAAATATGATCTGTGCCTCATTCAGTCATCATCAGCGGGGCTTCCTCCTGCAGCAGATGGGAACAAATACAGAGACCCTCAGTCAGAGAGCAGAGAGAGAGACCGGGGAAACACCCAGGTCTAAATGGGATCTCTCCATCAAATCCCCTCAGAGCTTGGGGAACCCCAAAGAAGAAGAGGCTGAAGGAGTGTGGGAGCCAGATGGGATGGAGACACCAGGAGAACAAGGCCCTTTAAATCAACCGAGCCAAGCTCATATGAACTCACAGAGACTGAAGCAGCAAGCACAGGCCTGACATGGATCTGTACCAGCTCCTCTGTGTATATATGACAGCTTTCAGTTGAGTATTTCTATGGGGCTCCTGAGTGTGTGAACGAATGGCTCTCTGATTCTTGTGCCTGCTCTTGGATTCCTTTCCTCCTGTTGGGTTGCCTTGTCCAACTTAGATGTGATGGTTTTTGGTTTATCTTACTATATTTTATTTTGTTGTGTTTTGTTGTTATTTCTTAGAAGCCTGTTCTTTTCTAATGAGAGAAACGGAGTGGATCCGGAGTGGAGAGGAGGTGGGAGGAACTGGGAGGAACACAGCAAGCAGACACTGTAATCGGGATATTTTTATGAGAGAAGAATCTATTCTTAACAAAAGGGGGAAATGTTAAAAAAGAAAGAAAAAAGGAGAGAGGGGATGGAGGGAGGAAGCAAGCAAACAAGTTTTAATGTGAAACTCTATTCTATAGGTAAAAACCTGTTTGGAAGATTTTAAATCAGTAATCAGAAGAAAATATTCTTCAAGCAAAAGCATGGTCTAAAGCGTGAGTTCCAGGACAGCCACCGTACACAGAGAAACCCTGTCTGGAAAAAATAAAAAATACAAACAAAACAAAAATTTAAAAAAAAAACCTTTTCTTATTCACAATTGATACAACAGACAATTTGTTCACAACATAGCAACAATGTATTCAATGATCATATTTGTGAGCTGAAATGAAGACCTCACAGGAGAGATAAGGGGAAAGCCAGGAATACTTTGTTACTACAGGATACTTATAGCTGGTGACACAATGTAACATTATTTGAAAACAGTGTTATAATAGTTACAAATGTATATTGCATGCCTGGTTTGTAGGCACTGACCTTCCTAGGATCCCAGGAGCATGGGATTGGAGAGTAATCCATACATGAGGAGAAGAAAAGGGACTCTAGGTCAACTATCTTTAAAGTAAGTATAATTGATATACTAAGAAAGAAGAGATTTCCTGTCTCAAAAAAAGAAAGGAAAAAAAGGAGGGAGGGAAGGAGGGAGGGAGGGAAGAAAAAAGAAAGAAGAGAAAAAGAATCATATAAAGTACTAATTTAAAGTCA